AAAAAGTATCTTGCACTTAAACCTTTAAATTTAATAACGTCAGGTCACGTATAAGTATATTATCCCACCTTAAGGTAATGATTCGAATTCGCTTCTTGCAAATTCGTTAAAAAAAAAAAAGAGAAAAAACAAATTATCTTTAAACCATTATCTTGATTTCTCAACATTGATCATTTGTGTTTTTTTTTTTTTTTTTTTTTCTAAACAACGGGAGTTTGAGGTTTTGGGAGAGTGAGAATTATATAATCTTTAAGAAAGAAAGATATTAGTAGCATCGGTACACCAATACTTCGTCAGTAACTGCTTTCATCGTAGATCAGAATTCAATGGTTAGGAAATCGAACATGCGGCTTGATGGGTTGCGTGTTTCAGTGAAGGTGGTGAAAAATCATCTGTTTTAAGAGTTAAATCTCAAGTTGTTAATATTTTTTAATTTGATTATTAATTATTATCTTTGTCAAAAAAAAAAAATAAAACAAATTATTAGAAACTATAAAAAAATAGATACTAATTATTCAGAAATCCATTCTCGACCAAACGATGACTTTAACCTAAGAGAGAAATGAATCCTAGAATCAAATTAAACAGTGCCGGCAGAATATTTCACCAGAGGAACGAATCATGATTGGTCCTATCATTTTCTTAATCATTAAGACAAATTAACACTGCTAGCGACAATTATAAACTCTGTAATAAGGGTTCAATTCATTTGGAAGTATTCAAAATCCCCAATCAATTAGTAAATTTGATCGTCCATTTAAAACATAAATTAGAAAAAGTGGATTAAAAATAAAGAAACAAACAAACTGAGGGATAAATTAATTTTGTTTGGAAATAATATAACTATAATATTATAATCTTATGTGATATAATAAACTTATAATCATTATACGTTACTACTTCTTTTTAATATTTGTTATCAAAGTGTCTCTAAACAAGCTTTTGAGCATTTTGAGTATAATCTCTCCCAAATGATTTTAAAAGCATGCCCTCACATGATTTAATATGTTTAAAAAACTTAATTTTTTTAAATGCAGCTCATCAAATACTTAAATATTAAATTTGACTTATAAGACTATATCATTATATGATTGAATCATTTTATTTAGTAATTTACTTGTAAATATTATGTATATATGTATATATATATTTTTAATGATATATCATAATTATAAAATTATAATTTGATGTGAAATTTACCTTTAATATTGCCAATTTTTGTTAAAGCAGGAGGAGTAAATTGACCAACCTCTTCTGTACAAAAACACAATGTGAAACCAATTTAGGAAAAGAATTTCATGCTTTCATTGAAAAGTCTTTTCCTTTTTCTTTTCTTTTTTTCTCTTTGTTGATGTAAAGTACAAATTAGTATAGTTGACTTTATCCATAAGAGTTTAATTGAGTTTATATTTAGAAATTTTAATTTCAAATATACAAATTTCTATAATATCAAATGTTAACATCTGAGGTTAAAAGCACTTGGCCCTTGAGGTTTAGTGACAATAGTCACCCCGGTGCATTTTTTCCTCTTTGGGTTGGGTTCGAAACCCGCCCTTGCAAATACGTTCAAAAAAAAAATAAAAATATGAGGTTAAAAAAAAAAAAACTGAAAATAATCCGCATTTACAGACCAGCCTCCAATTTGTCATCGGCTATAAAAAAAAGAAAAAAAAAGAGATTTTAAGATAATTTTTTATATTATTTTTTTATAACTTAATATATTATTTAAATAATTAATTTTTTTAATT